GCATGAGCCAAGCGCAAAGTCTCGCCCAAGGTCTCCAAGCCAATCTCCAAGCCGACCGGCGTTACGGTCGAAGCGAAGTCAAAGCACAGAACGTCAGACAGAGTCACCTCCTTTGGAAGGAGCAGCTTGCAAAACATGCCAGACGATTTGCTGAATCTACCGGAGTTGTTCGATCTCCGGAATCCGATCCGTCGGCTCGAGCATCCGCTCCAAGCAGAGCCGCATCCAAAGGACCGGCGTTACGGTCCAAGAAAGGAAAGGCAAAAGGTAAAGGAAAGAGAGCAGCCACTCCACGTGGCGCGAGAATGGCGAGCCCGAGCAGCCCGGGCACCATCAAGAGAAGCTTCACGTGAGCCTGCCGACCGACATTCCGGTAAAGGCAAGGAGCGCCGAGAGCCCGGACCTCGACCACATGGAATGCACTCTGAAGATCGAGCAGTGTCAGCTATCCGACATTCCGGATGGCCTTGTACACATGACCGAGTTCCGACATCTTAATCAGTGAAACATGGCCTACTGCCGGGCGGCGAAAACACGTTGGAACCTAGCAACGCAACATGAGTCATTTCTTGCCAATCGATGCCTTGTTGCTTGCTCGTGAACATATTCGCCCAACTGCCAACGTGGCCCTTGTTCTTTCCAAGGCCACTCTTGAGAAAAATCCGCATATCCAATTCTGCCTCGCCAAGAACGGATATTTTATGACCAAGGAGCCCATTCCATATGGCCTGTTCTCTGCACGCAGCCTGGAATGTTCGTGATGGCAGTTGTGTTACAAGTTGTGGGACGTTCCGCACAGCACCCCGGCAATGAGTGTGGCCGATGAAGGATACTTGCGCTTCTATAGCCAATTCTTTTGCGAGGTCCTTCGGCTCACCACCAGAACACCAAAGGCTATGACAAATTTGATGTCAAGACTCGTCATTGGCCTTCAAGAATGTTAAGAATCGTGAGATCGAGAAGTGGCGCAGCGATAAGCAAGATCAGCTCGACACCCATCAGCTTCACGGCGTGTCCAAGATCGCTGTCGCTGCCGAGACATGGCTTAACTATCTCAGTGTTAATGATGAATGGCGCGATCAAGAGACGGACCTTCGTCGCCTCAAGAAGAAGACTCTATCCGAAACTACGGAAGAGGAATTAGAAGATCTCTATGTCATTGATGATGACGATGATGAGGCTGACGATAATGCCATGGAAGTCGATGCCGACATTCCGGCCGACGACGCAGATGACCAGCAAGTCATTGATACGCTGGATGAGCAGATGATGGACGATCTTGCGGAGGCCAGGGATAAGAAAGGAGTTTGGGTCAAGAAAGGTGAGAAGAAGCCCGACATTCCGGGAAGTTCTTCAGCACCTTCGACTGGTGAAGCACCGTCGTCATCGGAAGCAGTCAGGAAGGAGGCGCACCAAAATGCACTTTCCTTGAGAAAGCAGACCGTCGCGTGGAACCCAGCCGTTCACCTTCAGCAGGCAGACTCCGTGTGTCCTTTTCCTCCGACATTCCGGAGACAAGGTTTTTCGAACCGTGAGGTGATGAAAGACGCCGCCGACGCACAGAAAACCAAGAAGGAAAAGAAGGGGCCCCAGGGCGGCCAGAAACTATGCTAAGTGAAATTTGCCAGCAGGAATTAAGCGCTCTTCTTCTGCCGCGCTTGTGGCCACGGTACATGCCTCGACAAGTCTAACCAATGCCTTTGCAACTCAATGTACCTAAGCTCGATGATCCCAGACTCCCAGATGCCGACATTCCGGCGCCACTGCATGGGTGAGTTTTTCGACGCCATTCGCTCCCGAATCTGAAGGATGGACACCTTTGGACAGACTCGCTGGACGCCGCAGACGACTTCGCGCGATGAAAGATTTGGTGATGAGCGGCGGATCCACCGGCTTTGCCGCGATGGACCATATCATTTTTTAGAGGGATCAAGTAAGTATCACTTTAGCAACCATCCTACTTACCATGCCAGCGAGATTCCATCCGTCGTCAAGCACTGGAACAACCAGAGTGACATCGCCCCGTATCCGATTGTCCGACCTAGCTGCTACTACCAATTCCGCCGATATTTTCCGGCCATGAGATGCGTCAGAAAGTCGACCTTAGCCGGAGCCTTATGGCAGGCTTCCGTGCAAACCAAGGCGACTTCGATCTGGACGCAAAACGACTTCGTTCCGCCACAGAGCACGTCTCAGTTTTGCTATTGAATATGGGCGACATTAACCGTCCTCCTCATTTTAACGGTAAGCAGCAATTGCCCCGAAGCTTCCAGGAAACCGCGTTATTTGGTTCGGAATACCGCCCATGTAACGGTTCTTCTTGAAGCGGGCGGCCTGGAGAGACTGCCATCTTTTTCGTCAGTACCATAAGATGTGCCTTGTCGCCATGCCGGACGGGCACGCGCATCCGATCGCTTGCGTATGCTACGTCCCGGCTAGAGCTTTTGCGCCGCATTCAACTTGATTCAGATCGCCTTAATTGGCTTACGCGCGCGGCAACTTTTAGAGTTATTTGGGGCCAGGTCGAAGAGGACACCCCGCGGGGGCATAACAACCGATAAAGGGGTCCGCGCAAATCTTCACAAAGCGCTTGAAGAAGGCGAAGACCCTGCCGATAATTATGGGAGTCGTCGTTTGTCCAGATACGCTGGGCACTGCCCAAGCGTCAACGATGTTCAGCCAGGTCGAGCCCATTCATGCTGAGGTCCTGCACCACGACGGTCCGACGGTCCGGACTGGAAGGCTGGCTGATTGCAAGCGAACGCACCTCCCTGAGTTACGGATTTGCGCATTCCATTTGAACTCCCACGCAGACTGCGTCACGGCAGGGAAAGAAGCGCTCACCAAGATTCTGGTGACGGCAGTTGCGGACCAGGTATCGAAATTTCAAGCAGGATCGACATTCCGATCCGGCTACAGGATCCGTCCTAAATATTTTAGATCAGATCCTAGCAGATACTAATGAGCTGCGTGAGCCTCGCCAACGCATTACCTACAACTGGGAGGTCTCCACACTTGCCACAGACCAGCTTGCAGCGCCAGAAGGACAGGACGCCGACGTCGACTGCCTTATGCAGATTGTGCTGAATTATGGAAAAGATATGCAGCGCGAGTGAAGAGGTCATCCGACATTCCGGAAGACCGAGGCCGTGTTGGATACGACGGACCTCCGCGTCAAAAGGAAACCCTCATAAAGGTCAATGAATACCTGAAACGTTTGAATCATTTAGATTCCTGCTTAAAGAGCAGCAACGAGGCCTATCACCACCCGTTTCAGTGTAACTTTTCGTTGGCCTCAAGATCCAGCGTTCGAGTCCGAGGTGAAGCATCTGAACAGCATCGAAGAAAGAAGGACAAAGAACGGTCCTAGCGGAGAAGACAAGAACGGCAAGATTGGTGGCAATCCTCTGCCTCTTCCTCATCATGGTGGCAATCCGGCTGGGACACTGGATACAGAGGGTATAGAAGATGGTAAATGACATCCAAGCATTGTCGACATTCCGGCAATTGCGCTCCATGAGTTGCAATAGGTTAGATCTGAATAGGTTTTGAAAATTCCTTACAGCTTTTGTATGTGAATAGACCTTGAAGATTTCCTACAGCCTTGAATTACTTCCGGCATTACGGAAAGTTCACAGCAAGATCATTGCCTTTCGTAGATCTGTATAGACTAGCGAGACTGCATTTTTGAGTCTTTTTAGATTGTCTGACGTCATAGACTTAAGAGCCAGAATGGCATCTACGGCCAAGTTCTGCGATGCCAGAACTGTAATAATTCAGTTGCACATTTTGCAACCTTTTGTAGTTTTGCAGCCGTAAGCTACGACATGAAGAAAATTTATGTCTGTTTGTATTTTGTAGGGTCCTAGGCTCCCCTATAGGCGTGTCTACCCTATACGTGTGTAGCACCGGTTGTCCGTAGTTAGTTTGTATATATTTCTCTTCAGTCAGCTGCCGCTTAATTCATTTGGCTCAAGACTTTGAAGCCCAATACTGCACTAAGTACCATAGAGAAAAGTGTGCTCGTCGTCGCTCGCACACTTGCATCGTGAGAGGGTCTTACTTGGTGTATTCGATCAGGTCCAGCATACTCTACTGCCACTTTGGGGAACTTACCCCTCACCCCCCCCCCTTACATTTAAAACAATTTCTGAAACCATCGAAATCAAGCACGGGAACAGTTCACCACCCCCAATACATGATTGCTAAAGCAAAGACAACTCAGGTAGCTGAAGCTACCTTTCGGGATATATTTAAATTCAGCTGCTGAGGTTAACTTCATATCTTTTCAATATTCAGCTGCTAAATTTGTAACGCATTGGCATTTCTGCACTGTGCATCAGTCATGGCATTCTGTGACCACTAAAAGTTGCTTTGTTTATGAATGCTTGCATGCATAATCCAGTATTGCTGAAACAAAATCAAAACACACAACGAAGAAGAGATTGGGAAGAAGAGATTGCAAAGAAAAGAATTGGAAGAAAAGTATCGGGCAGAAGAGACTTGAAAGATGAGACTTGGACGAAGAGACTGGGAAGAAGAGAATAGGAAGAAGAGCAGCTTGAGAAACCTTTCAAACAAATAAACACCACATAAAACAATGCTTGAAAACTCCTGATCAAAGGGTGGCATGTCCTTTCCCTCAAGGCCGTCCTCTTGTTACAATTTACAATCGTTGTTTTATGCGCCAAGTGCAACAAATATCCCCTACCCTTCACGGATAACAGCACACAATGCTTCAAAATAATTACGGCTATGAATTCAATCGACAAAATGCATATGCAGGAATGTGATCAGTTTTTAATGGAAAGGTGTATATATACAAGTAAGATCAATAAAGCGAGAAACACTCTTTAAAGATAAAGCCCAAAGTCTTGAAATTGCATCCCGTCACTTAGTACATATATAATAATATAATATATACATATAATATAATATATATATATACAGTATATACAAAATACATATACAATCACATACACAAACGGAGTCTTCCACACCTCTGCAAATGATGCCATCGTCAAATCATTTGGGACAAGAACTCCGCAGCGATATGTCATCATCTCCTCTGGTACGCATGTTTCCACAGGTTGCTCAAAACACACTCAGCATCATCGTAGGTTGCCGTCAAGGTGCAGAGTAAGGAACGAATTCCATGTCTGTTGCCCACTTGAACTTCAAAGGGATGCTTTTTCCATTCCTTGGCAGCAAGCTTCAAGCTGCAAAGCAGTAAAAGAAGACTTTTGCACAGGCGTCTCGGCTTCTCAAGTCATTACTGTTGGTGGTCACACATACCTGGGGCGTCCACTCTCGCAGGAATGCCTGCTTGCCAGCCATGCTGTCCGGCCATGACAAGACCGAAGAAGATGTTCTTCGATACATAGAACATCACAGAGAAGGCCAGGGCCAAACTTTATACTACCAGCTGATCACGTAGGAGTTCCAAAATAGCATGCCATCTGTGTGTGAGTTTCCTGTTAACCCCTGAGTGACCAGCGGTGACCGGTGACCAGCGTTGCGAAATGACCAACAGAGGTAGCTAAGAGCCAGAGCTGCCTATTACACATGCCCCTAAAATCACTGAAGATCCATGAATATTACCATATGACTTGTGAACTAAAGAGAATCCTATCTCATGTGGCACTGGTTGCACAGGAGTTTATGAAGGCATCATTTCTTTGCTGATGAGGGAGTGCATCGAATTTAGGTGTTGTTTCTTGACTTTGACTCCATATGCTTGGAGGTAAAGTCTCCTGTCTCATGTCCATGTCATGATTTTTGGCATTTTCCAGGTTACACATGATGGGGGAGTTAAGCTAGGATAACTCTCAAGACACTGGCAGCCCTAACTCCTATGTGATTAGCCGGTAGTATCAGTACCAGGACCAAGATGTCAATTGATCCAGGACGGCCTCAAGGACGCTTTTGAAGTACATCCCGGGCAAACGTGCCCACAACATTGAGCGCAAAATGAACCTCATTGGTGCAAATGATTTGGATCGAGGGCCTTGGACCAAGCCCCAACAGTTTAACAGCACACCAAAAAGACATGAATGCATTATCTGACATCATGATGCTAAACCGGAATGACACACATGTATCATGTACAACATTGTAGAACGAAGCTCCCACATCTGATCCTTCCCATCCAACCACTATCCTGTCCTGCTACTCCTTTCTTCCCGAAACAGGTTGCTCGTAACTAAGGAGTTCTTATACTGGATTATACTGGTGATAAGGCAGGTTTCGTGGCCCTGGTTCGCGTCTGCCGCGTCGTTGTGTTGTGTTGCAGGCGCTGATCGAAGGAGTTTCACTTGGAACTTGGATGCGCAGACTACGTGGTAAGTGCAGTGCTTTGGACTTTCCCGACCGCGATTCCTCAAGTTGTTGAGGAAATGGATGAAACGCTCGTTCACCGTACTGGTCACTTGTCCAGCACCAAGACAAGCCCAAAACAAACTTCTGTTCCTGTCGTTGCTGGCACTGGCACAGTTGACACAGGAGCAACGGCGGGTGTAGATGCCTTCAGTACCGGTGGTGGTGCTGCCGGCGGCTTTGTCTCCTTCCCAATCGCATTGAGCATGGTCTCAACAGCACCCTTCGTCAGCTGCAGCTGGGGTGTGTGGAGTCTGCCGGTGGCTTTGGTGGGATTGCAAGTCCCGTGGGATTGGGATTGACGGGCAAAGATAGACTTCGACCGAGAACTGCACGCTTCACCACATTCGGTGGTGGCATCTGTCCTTGCTTGGAACTTCCCTTAAGCTCAGATTTGGGTTCTGACTTCACATCATTGCCGATGGTTTGATGTTCCACGCACCCACTTTGAGACTTTGAGTCTTGCGGCCTGATCCCTCCCTCATTGACCGGACCTTCAAAGCTTTCGTGAAGGCGTGGAAGTAGAGTCACTGGCGGTGCACTCATCTCTGGCTTTGCTCGATGCTCGGGACTGCCGACTTCGGGGCGACTAAAGTGAGACACGTGATTGAACAGCTTCAAGCAAGGATTTGCACATCCAAACTCGGCCGAGGCCAGGACACTTCGGTTGACCTTCACAACGGAGACCAAGAGACACATGTCTCTGCCATGTTAAGAATCAAATTGCTGCATTACTGCTATGTCAAACTCATGATCTCAAGCTCTTGCACATGCTCTAACAGCCGCGGCATTAAAGGAATGCGCCGCCTCTATTTCACAAACGATATCACCATGGGCAATGGCTATACATGGCCTGATCTGGCACCCCCAAAACATGCAATCGCCTCTCCGAACACGAGGACCGTGAAAAAATACGGTGCGTTAGCCGGATCTCAGAAAGTTCGCCTGACGTTGAGACCATGCCACCGGAACTGAGCCACATAAATGGCCAAACGCTGCTGCACCTGACCGAACACAAAGCAATCCCCGTTGATTTCATCTTGTCGATGTTCAAGATTCCCTCCTGTGGCTCTGCTGCTAATTGATAGGCTGCCTGCTTTGCGACGAAAGCCTGTCAAAGGGCCATCCGAAGCAGCACACCTGTGGCCCAAACATCTAAGGGCTCCGCTTCACACGCCATGCAATAAACCACCCTGAACAAGCAAAGCAATCCACCCTAAAGTTGCCCTAAGCAATAATATACCGAATCTTGCATAGCATAGACATATATATATATAAATTACATATACGCATTACGCAGTAGATTCAGTAGATATTTACTTGGTTGGGTTAGTTGCTTGGAAACACGGCTGTTTGGTCAGTCCCAGCTGCGTTTGCAGCCTGGCCGGTGACACTTGATCATGGACAGACTTTCAACGGCAGAAAAAATGAAAAAGATACACCTTGGTTTTGAGAAAGTTGCACCAAACCTGCACGCAGTTTCCCTTCACGTTGTGGAAACAGCAACACTAACCACGCAAGCGCTTCCCAAACGCCAACATTGTACTTCACCACATCCCAGGCTTTATGCCACACTTTAATTTGGCAACACCCGTCACAAATGCAACTTTTAGCTCATCACATGCATCACACAAACTGATACAAAACTACCTGGCGGTCTGAAAACTGCGGCCTCCCCATCTTGATCTCGTGGCACTGGAGTTTTCGCAGGGGCTTTACATGAAGTCGTGGCAACTGGAATGTGTACAGTAATTCCATGATGTTTCTCCTACTCCCACCAGCAAAAACAGGAACACATAGAACCATTCATGTCAGTATAGGTTTAAAAACGTTCACATGCGAGACTTTGCCATAAGGATGGCGGCTTTCATAGCGAAAAAAGGCAAGCCCCTAACTGTTAACTATAAAATTGGGTTCTTTACAGTAATTGCGAGTCTCGTTCGAGTGAGAAACTCACCGATGGATGACCTTGATTCTTGATTGTGCCTTTCAACATCAACTCGCCGATCGGGTGGTTTGGCACGCCTCCAATTGTGTAAAACAGCATGGAATTTGAGCATCAGGGCCGTTTTTCGTTGGTGCACGCAGTTTTTGGCAAGGTGAAAACATATTGGTTCATCTTTGTGCCCAAGACATGAAAGACCAGCTCCAGCCCTTCTCTCTGCGCACAGTGGATGTAATTATCTCTTTCACACGAAGAGCCCCGCATTCTCTTTGTCATTATGTTTATTTGATCTTTCGTGGCAAACTCTTCATCTGTTTCTCTGCTACTTGCTCAAACGACCAACCAAACAATAAGTTCCTTGCATATATCTATCACGTCATATATAATGATATATAAAGAGTAGAGCACACCTCTTTTCTGTTCGCTCTGCAGCAAGATTGTCAATTAATGAGCAAATTGGGAACACAGGAAAAACAGAGTCCCCCCATAAAACTTCGAGTGGAGTATCCCCCCCGTTCCTGGTCAACAACACAGGGAAGGGGGCGTTCCCGGATACTCGTCC